TACTTATACCGTCCAATCCGCACTACTTATACCGTCCAATCATCATTACTTATTCCGTCCACTCAGCATTACTTATACCGTCCAATCAGCATTACTTATACCGTCCAATAAGCATTACTTATACCGTCCAATCAGCTTTACTTATACCGTCCAATCAGCATTACTTATCCCGTCCAATCAGCATTACTTATACCGTCCAATCGTCCACTCAGCATTAATTATACCGTCCAATCAGCATTACTTATACCGTCCAATCAGTCTTACTTATTCCGTCCAAACAGCATTACTTACACCGTCCACTCAGCATTAATTATACCGTCCAATCAGCATTACTTATACCGGCCAATCAGCATTACTTATACCATCCAATCAGCATTACTTATACCGTCCAATTGGCATTGCTTATACCGTCCAATCAGCATTACTTATACTGTCCAATCAGCATTACTTATACCGTCCAATCAGCATTACTTATACCGTCCAATCGTCCACTCAGCATTAATTATACCGTCCAATCAGCATTACTTATACCGTCCAATCAGCATTACTGATACCGTCCAATCAGCATTTCTTATACCGTCCAATCGTCCACTCAGCATTAGTTATACCGTCCACTCAGCATTACTTATACTGTCCAATCAGCATTACTTATACCGTCCAATCAGCATTGCTTATACCGTCCACTCAGCATTACTTATACCGTCCAATCGTCCACTCAGCATTAATTATACCGTTCACTCAGCATTACTTATACTGTCCAATCAGCATACCATATTCCGTCCAATCAGCATTACTTATACCGTCCAATCAGCATTACTTATTCCGTCCACTCAGCATTACTTATACTGTCCAATCAGCATTACTTATACCCTCCAATCATCATTACTTATTCCGTCCACTTAGCATTACTTATACCGTCCAATCCGCACAACTTATACCGTCCAATCATCATTACTTATTCCGTCCACTCAGCATTACTTATACCGTCCAATCAGCATTATTTATACCGTCCAATCAGCATTACTTATTCCGTCCACTCAGAATTACTTATACTGTCCAATCAGCATTTCTTATACCGTCCAATCAGCATTACTTATACCGTCCAATTATCATTACTTATTCCGTCCACTCAGCATTACTTATACAGTCCAATCAGCATTACTTATACCGTCCACTCAGCATTACTTATACTGTCTTATCAGCATTACTTATACCGTCCAATCAGCATTACTTATACCGTCCAATCAGAATTACTTATACCGTTCAATCAGCATTTCTTATACCGTCCGATTATCATTACTTATACCGTCCACTCGGCATTACTTATACTGTCCAATCAGCATTACTTATACCGTCCAATCAGCATTTCTTATACCGTCCAATTATCATTACTTATTCCGTCCACTCAGCATTACTTATACAGTCCAATCAGCATTACTTATACCGTCCACTCGGCATTACTTATACTGTCCAATCAGCATTCCTTATCCCGTCCAATCAGCATTGCTTATACCGTCCACTCAGCATTACTTATACCGTCCAATCAGCAATATTTATACCGTCCAATCAGCATTACTTATTCCGTTCAATCAGCATTACTTATACCGTCCAATCAGCATTACTTATAATGTCCAATCAGCATTTCTTATATCGCCCAATCAGCATTACTTATACTGTCCAATCAGCATTAATTATACCGTCCAATCCGAACAGCACACTGTTTACTCAAGTAGAGGAACAAAGAACGTGAATTTTGAAAACTCTAAAATAATTTTTTTCTCAATCTTACGTATCCTTTCTTTAAAAATGTCTCTTCTCTTAGAGCATTGTATACAACCACTCTTTAAATTACCACGTACCAAACTGAAGAAACGACTTTGTTCTCAAATTATAAGGGGTTTCTTCGTCTTAGAAATGTGAATGTAAATAAAAATACATGATTGTAAACTATTTTGGAGCATATTTTGTGAAGAGCATGACAATGTCAAAACAATATGACTGAGATTCAAATTGACAATATCTTTGTTGAAGTCGGAGGAAACTTTTTCCAGCAGACTATAGTCATTCCTATGGGAACAAAATGTGCCCTTCCTCTGACCTTTGTTATTAAATGAGACCATCGTCGAAATCAAACAGTTTCGCTCTCAATGTATAACGTCCAACATATGTGTACGTAGGGCGAAACCTTTGGGCTCCCTAGAGGATATGAGGATGAAATGTATTGAAAATCTTAACAGGACTTGTAACAAAAACCTCGCTTAGTCCTCCAATTACACTTTCAGATATATTGACGATGTGCTTTCTTAAAATAACAAGAAGTTTATTGACTGCCGATCATATATGCTCTCATGAACTCGAGGTCACTATAGACTCTTCTTCAGACGCTTTTCTCGATCTTTCCTAACACCATTATCAAAATTGAGAACTGACGCCTTATTATTTGGCTGTACAATAAGCGTGACGATTTTAATTTTCCGATTGTAAACTTTCCCTTTCTTGAGTGTAACGTTCCTACTTCCCCAACCAATGGCATATTGCAATTGATACTGAAGTCAAGATCTTGCTCTAAATATTATTATTTCCGACAGATGACAGACAAACGATCAACTCATGGTTCACAGAGAAGCAGGTTGATCGATTTTATGGTCGCCATAATGATAAATATTATTTGTTTGTGTGATCTAAAGGTTAATGTTTTAACCTGTCATATAGGTACCTTGCTGTTTCGTTGTAAATACCCCGGCTCTCGCTTCGAAACATTTCTTGTATTTTACTGAGATTTACATGTTTTTTGTCGACGATAAAGCAGGGAACTTTCACACTTCCGGAACATCTGGTTGTATTCCGGTTATATATTGATTAACAGAATAATGTTTACATCAATAAGAACTCTACTTCATTCCAGTTGATTTGATGAAAAATTCACTATTTGGTAAAATTATGGTTATCATTCGTGAAATTATTTCTAGATACTTCAACCATCATTACGTAGAAGCTTTAAGACTGCGCTTCCTCAATTATTGAAATATCAAAACTATGAGTACCATCTTTTGTCTTTACAACAATGATGATTGATTCTACTTGAACTTGATTTGAAAACTAATTCGGGATTCAAGTGTTTGTCTGTCTAATTAATGATGGATGCATTTAATTTTAAAAAGGTTGTCTGAAATGATCACAAAATAATAAAATTGTAAAGCAGTGAACAATACAAAGTGAACTGGACTGCAGCGATCGATATTTCATATTTAACTACGCAATTAGTAGCCGCCAGTTTTAAAGGAAATACTTGTATTCTAAAAAGGGTTTGTAGAAAAAACCTGATGGCTTACGGTATTGTTGCTAATTTTGAGCAATCTGTGCAAATTGTTTGAAACACGGCCGTTTCATCAATAACATTACGGAAAAAACACATTGCTTTAAGGACGGCTTACAGTCATGTTCCATTTCCAAATTTAAAATTGTAAGAAATTTACAACGGTTTTCTCTATTTCTTTAAAACGCAAAATTGAAAATTAACATTGGGTTTTATAACCAATATTATAAACCTAATTAAAGTTAGGTGTGGTACACGTCCATTGCTACTGTCTTTCACGTCCATTGGAAGATCCAGACCTAGGTTTGTTTGAAGTATGTAGGTGCATTTTACATTACTTCAAACATAAACGAACATCCTTGACAGTTGGCACACGATAACTTCAGGAGTTGTCATATGATTTACAAACAAAAATGGTATCTGAAAAAAATACATGGATTATCTATACTGATCTTTGCGGACACATGAGAAAATGTGTGACGATTTTCTGATGTATTTGTATAATGTGAAGCTTCGATATATAATTTGTTTACCGTTTGTACTGGTGTAGTACAATATGAAGTTTATATATATAAAATATGTAAACATAATATTGTATATAGTTTGATCAAAAATGTATTTTAATACTATAAATATTTTTGATACAATTTGTACTTTTTAATACAAATTAACAGTATAGTGTAAACACAGTGTGATTTTCGTATATTACTATTCTTATGCATACTGTCAGTTAAAATACTATGTATAGCGACTACGTGTTTTGAAATAAAGGATCTTTTTAATACTGTGTGTATAGTAGAACACAATACATCTCCAGGAAGACATTAACCAGGTGGCATAGGAATAGTAGTTAGCGCCTGATAAGGCAGCTCCTGCGAATTCCTCAAAATTGTATTGATTAATGTATATATTAATGTATTAATGTATTAATGTATATATGCTAATTGTATTGATTGTATAAATTGTATATCTATGTACTGTAAAGCGCTTATTTTGATACAATGTGTAATTGTAAAACAGTATACATTTTGTTATTGCGTAATATATGCAGATTTGGTATCACAGATACATGTATATATATATAAACATATACATATCAGATCTTCACAAACTTATATCGTATATATACGTTTGAACGTAGTACTAGGCAGATTTCGGTTTGAGCTTGGTTGAACGTGGAATGGATAATTCATTTTTTTAAATATTTCCTTACAGCTATAATCACATATACGTGCTTAAGGTTACAAGTTAAACAGAAAATCACTTACTTTGTTACAAAGATAAACCTAAAAAGGTTTAAAGGGACTACAAAGACGGTTCAGTTCGTATTTGTCAATATCGTGGGACGTCATGTCAATAATTCGTTTCGTATCAATAGGTACTCTTTATTACTTGTCCATGGGGTAGGCTATATCGTCTGGTTATGTAGGTATGGTAAAACTTATTCCATGGAAGGTTACACGTGGCCGATTTCGGCAGATAATCTGATTTTTCAAATGACTACAGGTAAAAGAGATATTGCCAATACCTTTAAGTAAACAAAGACACGCTCAGGTTAAATATCTACCATGACGAAGGAAACTAGGAAAAACAATTCACGGCAAAAATCACGCTCCGACATGAAAGGATTTGTTGCCTTCAAGTTCGCTTGGGCTATGACAAGACAGTTGACTAGGCTCGTAGGAAGAACATGGATGTGATGTTCTGTGGACTCTGTGGTACCGAGGGGTGCTCGATTGTTCTATCCTGAAATCATCCACAGCTATAAGGAAATATACCACGCTGCTAATCTGCGATGTCACACTGCTAATGTATGATGCTGTATGGCTAACTTGCGATGAATAATTTGATATTTTTTGACTTCCGTTCACTGTCACTCGGTTCATCAGTGGTGTTATATCGATTAGAAATGATGTTATAAGGCTAGCGTGCAATGCCACACTGCTTATCTGTGATAACCGTTCAGTGCCACATGGTCATATTCTCTGGTATACTATTGCTTATATAAGAAGCCATATGGCTAATCTACGATGCCACATTGCCAACAATTGACCACCGTATAATGTAATACAGAGCAACTTGTACTGTTATTGCACTGTCATACCGTTTTTGTGATGCTACTCTTCTGCCGTGTGAATCTGCAGTTAACCGGTGGTGGCATCATGCTACAATGCTAGTATGCGATGCCACGCTTTTGTGATAACTGGCGACTATCATGGAATTCCAATCAGCTTATTGTGTTGTCACTTTTAAATTCTTCTCTTATAGGCTGTGATCATTGAGGAAATACCACATTGCTGATCCGTTATGTCACATTGATACATTGCATAGCTTGTGGCCGCCGCGAAGGATTTACAATGGGGATACATGTAAGTATGTTTATTATAGGCACGGGGTGTGTGCGCTTTAGCAGAGAAATACGGTACCTTGTCTGTCCAACCGGAGACCTCGACACTAATTAAAAACGGATCGGTCAGGAACCTGTGCAGAAAGAAACCGATCATGGTCAGGACTGGTCTTTTTTCATTTTTTCCCCTTTTATTCTATTTTATCTTAGCTGTTATTAACTTTTGTTTTCCTAATGGCTAAACTCATGATATTGTGCTTGTTTACAAAACTAAGTCCCCTACAGTCGGTAATTGTATAATTTATAATTGTATGGCAGGAGAAACAGATGAACGAATCGAAAAAATAATTGAATTCTGCCCGTAACTAGCATAGCGTTTGATTTGTATTCCCGGAAATGAACTACTATGAATATAGTCTTAGCATAGGAAGGAATATGGTACTGAGTGTCGTAGAAAACAAATTATATCAACTCCTGAAGCCCTTTTTTATGTCTGGATGCGGTTGTCCGAAATAAATATCTTTCTCCTCTTTAAAAAAAATGATTGTGTGGAATTAGTAAGTTATTTCGGACTAGAATTGGGTGTTCTTTGGCAAACACCCATCTGTTTATTTTGCGGTATTCTTACTGCAAATGCCATATCGAGAAAACATGAACCCCGTCTCCATTTGTTATCAAGAAAAGATTGATTAACATAATTGTCTTAAGAATACTATCCATGCGCCAAATCCTTCTATGTTTTCGACAATCTTGGTTCAGTATTTGTAAAGAACGATTTCACTTTGACATGCGTACACCGATTTATAGGGGCACCAACCCAAACAAGTTATTTCCCTAAAAAAACGACGAACATTAATCTTTAATTTTCCTTGTGGTCGGAAAAATAGATTATACAAGAACAATTATGCAATTAAAGGAATATTGTGCAAGAACTAACGCAATGTATATATTCTTTAAGTAGTTGGATAACCATCTGACCTCTCCTACACTTCGTGTCGACAGACCATTATCCTCTGTACAAGTAGTTACATGTATTTGATTGTAACCCAGGCAATTCGATAACATACTTAATTTAAAGTTCAAGCCTCCCATTATATATAAGAATAAATGTCTTCTTAATCTGTATGGTATAACAACTCAATGTCTATAGCCCGTAATAAGTGTCGTTACCTGTAAAGAAAGGAAATGTCGTTAAAGATTAAGATATTCCTTAATAATTAGCCGCTCGCGGATCAGACAATTTCACCGAACACGTCAAAAATACATTCGGTCACAAGCTGGTGGAAATGTATAGATATTGGTATGTTCAATTTACCGTCACACTTACCGATAAGGTATCTCGAAATCGCCTTTTCCTTCCTTCTTAATAAAAATGTGAATATATTTCCCTCTTTATATCGTTAAATCCCTTATAGTGTCCACATTTTGCTAAACAAATACATGTAATGGCAATATAACGAGTATCTATATACTCAAACTATTTAAAATGCTACATTTATAATAAATGTTAAGTTTGTTTTGGACGCAAACAATGGCCTTTTTTGTCCAAAACTATCTTCGCATTTATTATTCATACAAAACTGTTGAATCCAATTCCGGATGCTATATATATTTTACGTAAAATATTGAGGCACTTACTGATATAATAAAATACAACAACCATCAACACATTTAAGAGTAAAATACAGGAAGCATATCCTATTAATTTGTGAGAAGTAGTTCATTATTTCGATTTGTATTTGTCATATTGATGAATCATCGAGATGCGTGTTTCAGGCACATTCCCTTTGGCTCAATGTAGTCCCAGAGTTTATGAAAACAGTAACTTTGGTGCATATGCCTATATATCAGTTCAAAGAATTTATTCAATTCCAAGTATTTTGTAATTTCTTTTGTTTGAATCTGAAGGCCAATTACATGTATAGTCAACACGTGGTAATCGACAAAGACGCTATACAGATAATATATACATGTACAATGGCATTCACGAATGATCTTTTTCGACGTGGTTAATTGACGAGCTCTCGTACACAATCACAGTACATAAATGTGGAAGGCATCCAACGTAAAACAGAAGTTTAATAAGGACTTGTAGGCGTACAAAACGTAATTCATATTTTAAATAATTGTTGACGAACTTCTAAACGACCCACAGCGAGAAATATTACGAAAGGTGTATGTTTTCTCGCACACAAAAAAAAAAAAAAACCCCAGAGAATAAATACGGTATTATATTTTGTTTACACCCTGGGCGCTAAGCAACTTGGGGAAATTCGGTTGATTGCAAAACCTTCCGTACTTCTCGGTAAATAACCATTAAAGAAACTTTATTTAGGTGAGGTGAAGAGATAGGACACTCGGCAAGAGAGGGTACAAGTAGAGACGCTTACAAACAGATGGTAACAATTATAAGTTCGAATACGACAACTGTATTCTCAATCACATTGGTGATCGGAGATCTTCAATGTATCGCTAAGTATTTTTTGTTACGGTACAACTGTTATATTTTTTATATTCTTATTAATTCGAACATGGGGTCAAGACCGTCAGTATCTTACAAGTAGCCCAAACTCTTGGATTTGTCTGTAGTTACATCACCTCTGATCGCTTTATAAGATTTAGAAGTCATGTACCAAAGATATTATAGTTCAGGTGCAACCTGTTTATTGAAATGTATTTGTATATTTGTTCACCGTATTTTTATACATTTGATTGATTTCGAAAGAAACAGATTATTTTTTAGGAAAGTTTTGAATTTTTCTTCAGATTGGCAAGATTTGTTTTCTTCGTATGTTTGGCAAGATTTTTGTTACGATGCATAATGCTACCATATTATTTTCAAGTACAATCTTCCATTCTAACGTGTTAAAGAAATAGCAATATAATTAAAACCAAATTTTAACTTACTGTAGTATGTCTACATAGATTTATTGCGGTAAATTGATATTTGATTAAATCAGACTGCGGCAAACGGAGAAGTACAAAACACACCTTCCGTGAAATCTTTAGAAGTGCTAACCGTTTCAATCCTGTGATTTTGGCACCTAACTATAGCAATTGTAATTCATTTGGCGTTGTACTTCATGTATTATTGTGTGTTTGAAAATATCTCGTGGGAGGCGCTATAGAAGTTATAACCACTTAACGGTCCCACCATTTACACAGCCCTATTCAGTCGGAAGTACGATATAGATTTCTACATTGAAAGTGCCTTTACTACGATTGACCGTCAACAATATCAACATTCCATTAGCGAGGCCTATATAATAGCGAGTGCGATTCAATGCTCTGTGAAAACATTGACGTTAAAATTGTCGACTAAATTCAGGTGAGATTGAAAGCTATGAATCTAACGTTTCTAGAAGAATACCGGTATGTGATACTTACATGTACATATCAAAAAAATATCCCTGCAACTAATGTTATCTGAACGGCAACTGTCTGACAATTGACCGTTGTTGGTGACCTTGTTCTTCGTGATATACACAATGGAACAATGCCAAGATATACATGTATGGTCCATACGCCTCAGATTGTGTATCATCATGTTTGTATATATAATCATGTTTCCGTATGCTTTCTTCAGCAATATTCGCACAAGTAATGATGCTTGAACTTTTGACATACATGTTGACATTAAAGGGTGGTTGAAAAACAGACACAAAACCCGCTGAAGAATCGTGTATTGAAAACACTATGAAACCCGACGGTAATATAATAACTCAGTTTCCGCAGATATCAGTAATTAGGTTTGTGATAGTTTTCAACAGCTGTGGTCAGCGTGTAGTGTATGCATGTGTGTTTTGGGAGGCTGCGATATGTTCGTGTTTGTCTCCTTGTGATAGCGCGGAACTGACTTTATAGTGCTACCTCACTGAAACATACAGCCGAAGAAACCCAGCAGGACACCCCACCCGGTCACATTATACTGCCAACGGGCGAACCAGTCGTCCCACTCCTAATTGCTGAGCGTTAAGCAGGAGTAGAAACTACCATTTTTACAGACTCTTGTATGTCTTGGCCAGGGAATAGAACCCTAAGCCTTCCTCACAGGGGCGAACGCTCAACTAAAAAATGAGGCATTGTCAAGAGAGACACAAGGAAGAAGAAAGTTGTTTAGAAAAAAAGATAAGATTAGATCCCAAATTTAGTCGGCCCAAACGATCATGCATTTGGGCAGGTACAATTCTTACGCCCTACCCGCAGGGACTTCAGGTTTCAGTAAGTTTCCGCGGTTGTACTGTTTCCGTCATGCGTCTACGTAAACTCTTTATAAAGTTATCGTCATGTTTCCGTTGACGTTATCTAACGGAAACAACTCGACTTTGTAATTTCCGGTTAGACCTCCGTTAACGCGGAAGTTCGATGTCAGGAGTGAATGTTTAAAGTTCTGTTTTTTGGTTTCAGTGTTCACTATGATGTTGTTGGATTTTTTGTTGTTTTTTGTTCTTGTTTTTTTGCATTTCATTTAATTTTATTTATTTACATTGATATAGGCTACATGCTATGTTTTCATTGTGGCAAACTAATGTGAAGAGACGATACCTAAACACAGTGAGGCAATATCCGGTTCTCCAATCTTTCGTCACATTAAAAGCAATTGAAAAAAAGAACTTTAATTTCATAAGTTACTACAAAATATGATTATGTATTGATCTTTGTCTATCGCACGTTATCATATTACGCTGACACGGAAAATCTGCTGAATGTGTACCGGGAAGTTACAAAAATAGCAACCGCTCGTGTCCTCGACGTGTACATGTGAACAATTAGATTAGATTAATCAAACAAACGATATTGTTCACGTCAGCAATGTCATTTGTAAATACAAGTATTCGTGATGTCGAAATACATGAAACGTAACATCAATGAAAATGCTATCTTGTGATTTGGAACAATTTCGCGTTTTGTTTACGGTTGTCGTTGGTGTAAGACACTCTGGATATGATATTTTTTCAAAGAAATCGGAACCAATAATCCATTTCATAAATGCATCTACCAAAAATCAAAATATGTATCATC